TTTCATTCCTTTTTAAGCTGAATAACATGTCATAATATGTACATACCACATTTTGTTTCTGCATTCCCTTGTTGGACAGTTGAGTTGCTTCCCCATTTTGGCTGTTGTTAATCATGCTGCTTTAATCATTGGTGTACAAGTATCTGTTTGTTTTTCCACCTTTAATTCTTTTGAGTATATACCTAGAAGTGGAATTATATGATAATTCTATTTTTAATTTTTAGAAATCACTGAACTATTTTCCACAGCAACTGCACCATTTTGCTTTCCCATCAGTAATGTGCAGGGGTTCCATTTTCTCCATATCCTCACCAGCCCTTGCTATATTTCATATTGTTTTAAATAATAGCCATTCCAAAGCCTGTGAAGTGCTATCCCTTTGTGGTTTTTATTTTCATTTCCCTAATGACTAATGATGTTAATAAGCATATAACATCAATAGGCACATTAAAAGATTCATGTGCTTATTGGCCGTTTGTATGCATTCTTTGGAGGAATGTTCATTCACATCTTTTGCATATTTTAAATTTGGTTATTTGTTGTTATTTTTTCTTTTCTTGTAGAGTTGTAGGAATTCTTTATAAATTCTGAGTATTAATCTTTATCAGGCATATGGTTTGCAAAGCTCTTACATTTTGATCTTTGATCTACTTTGAGATAATCGTTATATATGGCGTAAGACAAGGGTCCAACTTTATTCTTTTGCATGTGGATATTCTTTTTGACCAGGGCCATTTGTTGAAAAAAATATTCTTTTTTTAATGAATGGTCTTGGCATTTTTGTTGGAAATTAATTGACCACATATTGGAGGGTTTGTTTCTAGACTATTTAGTCTATTTCCTTGGTCTATATGACTCTTCTTATGCCAGTACCACACTGTTTTGATTACTTTGGTATGTTTTGATATCAGGAAGTGTGAGAGCTCCAACTTTTCTTTCTGTTTCAAGATTGTTTTGGCTACTTGAAAACCTGTGAGAATCCATATGGATTTTAGGATGAGTTTTCCTATTTCTACAAAAAATACTGCTGGGATAGTAATAGGTGTTGCATTAAATCTGTATATCACTTGAGTAGCATTATCATATTGACAATATTAAGTCTTGGTTGATGAATACAGGATGTCTTCTCACTTGTTATGTCTTTCATTTCTTTTAACAATGTTTTGTAGTTCTTGGTATACAAGTCTTTCACTTCCTAGGTTAAATTTGTTTCTTAATATTTATTTTTTATGATGTTCTTATAAACGGAAATGTTTTGAAATTTTTGTATCTTTCATTGCTAGTTCATAGAAATGTAACTGACTTTTTTGTGTTTCTTTTATATCCTGCAATTTTGCAGGATTTTTTTATTGGTTGTAACAATTTTGTGTGTGTATGTTGTGTGTAATCTTTAGGGTTTTTTTTAACATAAAATGTTACATCATCCGCAGACACAATTTTACTTCCTTCTTTCCAAATTCAGTGACATTTCTTGTCTAATTGTTTTTGCTAGAACTTCCAATATGATCTTAAATAGAAGTGGTGAAAGCAGGCATCTTTGTCTTGTACTAATTATCTGGGAAAAGTTTTCACCATTTCACCATTGAGTGTGATGTTAGATGTGGGTTGTTAGGTATGGCACTTACCATTTTGAGGAAGACCCTTTCATTCTTAGATTATTATTTTTATAATGAAAACCTGTTGAATTTTGTAAAATGCTTTCTTAGTACATCAATTGAGATGATAATGTGATTTTTTTCCCTTCCATTCTATTAATTTCATATACCACAGTGATTGATTTTGATATGTTGACCTTTTCTTACATTCCAGTAATAAATCCCACTTGGTCATGGTTTACAATTGCTTTAATCTGTTATTTAGTTCAGTTTGCTAGTATTTTGTTGAAGATTTCTCCATCAATATTCATAAGAAATGTTTATATGTAGTCTCCTTTTCATGTAGTATTTTTTTCTGGTTTTGGTATCAGGGTAAAGCAGGCCTCAGAGAATAACTTGAAAGGGCTCTTTCTGCTTCAATTTTTTTTGCAAGAGTTTGAAAAGAATTAGTGTTATTTCTTCATTAAAGGTTTGGTACAATTCACCACTGAAGCTGTTTGGCTTAGGGCGTTTTTATCTTGTAGAAGGGTGTTTTATTTTGAGGCAAGCTCTTTACTAGCTATCTGTCTATTCAGATTTTCTATGTCTTTATGATTTGGTTTTGGCAGATTGCATGCCTGTTTCATCTAGGCTACCCCACTTGTTGGTGTATAATTGTTCAAAATATTCTTTTAATCTGTTTATTTCTTCAAAATTCGTAAAATGTCTCAATTTTCATTTCTGAATTTAGTATCTTAAATATTTTCTCTTCTTTTCCTTTTTCAGTTGTTTTAAGGTGTTTTTCTAGTAAGTCTGATATGCATACTTTCTTAGAGATGGTTTCTTTCAATTTATTTTGAATGTATTTGGGAATTTTGAATGAGCCATCTTCTGTTTTTTAGTGTGTCTTGTAACTTTTGTTGTTGGAAATTGGGAATTTGATGGTTTTAATGTGATACTTCTGGAAATCAGATTCTCCCTCTTCCTCGGGGATTTTGAACTTTTATAAATTTTACTTTTTTATTTTTTTTTGTTTTTTTTTTTTTTTTTTTTTTTTTTTGAAGGGCCTGTATTCAGGCCCCATATAATGGACTTTTCCCAAACACCTGGTTTTTTGGCCAAAAATGTCATTTCTTGTCCATGGTGTGGATTACACTGGGAGTCTCTGTTTCTTTAGCTCACGTTCAGCTAATGTTTAAACAGAGATTTTTTAAAAATCAGGAGTTGAAGCAAGCAAACCAATGAAAGACACACACGCGCACGCACACACACACACACACACACACCCTCAAAACAAAATAGAGGCAGGAGCTTCAAGGCAGCCTCTGAAGACTGGCTGTGTGCTGGGACCCTGCGTCTCTAGGCTAGGCTTGCTTAAGCAAGTGAAAGCAGAAGGTCTTCTCAGGTCTTTTCTGAGCACGTGGCTCTCTTGAGCACTCACATGGCTTTCTAAATTCTCCTGGATACATGGCTGCACTTGATGTTCAAATTCCCCCAAAGCATCCATTAAGCATCTCTTCTGGAACTCTAATGGCCTATTTTATATCTCTACTTGCAATCTCTTGCCTCAGACACCTGTGAGCTTGTCATCACCTTGTAGCTTTTATGAACAGCGTCAACCACTTTTATCACCTGCATTTGAAATGATACAAAACAGAGATGAGTGTCTTGTGTCAATCTGTCAGATGTCCCCAGACAGGTTAGAAACATAACACAACGATTTGCAATGAAGTCTGCTTTGCTCCCTCTTATGCAATGACGGGTGGGATCTGGGACCAGGCTGCCCTCTGCTGAAGACCCAGATCACTGCTGTGCTGGGGAGCGGAGAGAGTAAGAGTGAAAGTGCCACACACCTTTCCTACCATTGTGACAACAGCTTTTTCTTGATAGGGCATTTACTGGCTTGCTGTAAACCCGTGACTGTTTTCCAGTGATTCTTTAAAGGTGGTTCAGATAACTTCTGGGTGTTTTTTTAAATTTTTAAATTTTTTTATGTTTTTGTTGGGGAGTGAGAGCTTGGAGTTTCCAAGTCCGCCATCTTGCTGCTCTGATTTTTAAAAATAAATAATAGTTAAACATATGACATAACATACATCAAAATAACTTTCTCTTATATTTAAATTATATATGTACATAAACAAATCAGAAAAAAATAAAAACAAAAGCAAAGCTTCTTTATTCTGCCTTTTTCTCCACATGCTAAAAATGGAGAGAAAATAATAGGCCAATAATTTTCAAACTTTCTGTAGTAAAAGATCAAATCTCTCTCTCCTCTAAATATGTCATGGGTAACACTTTTTAAAATAGACTAAAATTGAATTATTGGGAAAGCACAGTAAAAGACATAAACTATCAACCCCATTTTCAAACTATCAGATTTAATAGGCATAAAATTTATCTGTCACATTGCAAATGAGTTCCTAAATGGTTCTTCTCAATTTCTTTTGCCAACCAGTACCCTTCAGTTCTCAGTTTGACATTTGATAGCAACCACACTTTCAGTGGCCTGGAGTGATCACTGTCTTTCTGTCCTCTGAATTAGAGAGATTTGTAAGAGTAGAGAAAAAATTACTAAAGGAAATATTTTTTGACTAAATAAAATGTAAAATCATCTGTACATAAAATCATTCAAACTTCGATGGCAGAAAATCTTTTGGAAAAATATTGGACTCAAATATTGTGAAAAGTTAAATACTACATAATAATTTATAAAAAGTTTATGCAAAAAGAGAAGTGAACCAGTAAGACCTAACAATTAATTGAACAAAGAAGAATGCACACACTATAAGATAGAAATTGGTAATAGAAGTGGAAAATATATCATTTCCATGAAAGAGAAGAAAATAAAAATTACAATAAAACTTGAGATATAACTTTTGCTGGAAAATTATTTTAAAAATTTTCTAATAATTTCTGAATTATTTTCAACACAAAGACTTGTGTTGAAAATAATTGTTCAATAATTTACATACTTTTTTTAAGTATAATATAATTTTTAATTGAAATTACATTTAAAAAAAACTGTCTAATGCAAAAGTAGTAGCAATGTGTTATGTATTTATACCATATATACAAGTAAAACATAAAATGACAATAGCACAAAAATACCAGGGAAAAGTGTGGAATATACTGTTCTACTGTTTATATCACATGTGAGATGCTATTATCTGAATATAGACCATTATTAATTAGAGATGTGCACTATAAATCCTAAGGCAATCTTTAAAAGAATTAAAGCAATTCAGTGATTTCTTAATATTCCTTGATTATGTTTCAATAATTAAACTACTCTCTAAATGTTTGGAAATAAATCGATGATCAAATGTCTACTTTTTCTCAGATACTTTCTGCCTTTGTGTTTTGCTTATTTTAACAAACCTCTGAGCTGTCTCTTCCTCATGTAATGACTTCCAATTGATATGCATATAAAATATGGGATGCTTCATGAATTTGTGTGTCATCCTTGCACATGGGCCATGCTTATCTTCTCTATATCGTTCCAATTTTAGTATACGTGCTGCTGAAGTGACCACACCTATTTGTTAATCCTAAGAATTCAACAACACATACACAACACTCTAAATTTCTAAAGTATGATGGTACCCAAATCACTATGACTAAAAGTGAGTTGATTCCATAAGGGTTAAGAACTTGGGTGTTGAAAGTGAACTATCAGGGATAAAGTTCCATCTTTAGCACATACTATCTCAAGCAATTCAATCTTCTGTGCCTCTCTTTTTCCATCTGTAGCACAGTGATGATACAGTTAGGATATTTTCCCCTTTAAATCTCACATAGAATTATAATCCCTAATGTTGGAGGTGGGGCTTGGTGGGAGGTGATTGGATCATGGGGGCAGATCCTGCACGGCTTGGTGCTGTCGTTGCAATAGTGAGTTAATTCTCGAGAGATTTGGTTGTTTGCAAGTGTGTGGGACCTTCTCTACAACTCTTGTTCTTGTTCTTTTTTTTTTTTTTGAGACAGAGTCTTGCTCTGTCGCCCAGGCTGGAGTGCAGTGGTGCGATCTCGGCTCACTGCAAGCTCCACCTCCTGGGTTCATGCCATTCTCCAACCTCAGCCTCCCTAGTAGCTGGGACTACAGGCACCCGCCACCATGCCTGGCTAATTTTTTTTATTTTTAGCAGAGATGGGGTTTCACCGTGTTAGCCAGGATGGTCTTGATCTCCTGACCTCGTGATCCACCCACCTTGGCCTCCCAAAGTGCTGGGATTACAGGCGTGAACCACCGCACCCGGCCTGTTCTTGCTCTTGCTTTTGCCATGTGATGTGCCTGCTCCTTCTTTGCCTTCTGCCGTAAAAGCCTCCCCAGAAACCAAGCAGATACCATAATCTTTCTTCCCACATAGCTTGCAGAACCATGAGCCAATTGACCTTTTTTCCCTTTATAAATTACCCAGTCTTAGGTATTCCTTTATAGCAGTGCAAGTACAGCCTAACAGAAAATTTGTACTGAGGAGTGGAGCCTTGCTATAAAAATACCTGAAAATATGAAAGCAGCTTTGGAACTAGGTAACACGCAGAGGTTGGAAGAGTTTGGAGGGCTCAGAAGAAGACAGGCAGATGAAAATTTGGAACTTCTTAAAGACTGGTTAAATGGTTGTGACCAAAATGCTGATCTGATGGTGCTGTGGACAGGGAAGTTCAGGCTGACAAAGTCTCAGATGGAAATGAGAAATTTATTGGGAACTGGAGCAAAGATTACTCATATTATGACTTAGCAAAGAACTTGGCTGAATTGTGTTCATGCCTTAGTGGTCTGTGGAAGTTTGAACTTAAGAGTGATAATTTAGGTTATTCACTAGAAGAAATTTCTAAGCAGAAAAGCTTTTAAGAGGTGGCCTGGCTGCTCACAACCTACACACAGATGTGGGAGTTAAGAAATGACTTAAAGTTGGAAGTTATATTTAAAGGGGAAGCAGAGCATAAAAATTTGGAAAATTTTCAGCCCAGCTATGTGGTAGAAAAGGCAAGCCCATTTTCAGGGGAAGAATCTAAGAGGACTGTGGAGCAATCCGTTGGTAGAGAAATTAGCTTAAATAAAAGAGAGCCAGGAGCTGATAGCCAAGACAATAGGTAAAAGGTCTTGAAGGCATTTCAAAGATCTCTGAGGGAGCCTCTCCCATCCCAGAGCCAGAGACCCAGGAAGACTGAATGTTTTTGTGGGCCTAGCCCAGGGCCCTTATACCCTGTGCAGCTCCAGGACACTGCTCCACGAAATCCCAGCTCTCTGGTGCTAGCGCTGGCTCAGAGGACCTGAGGTATAGCTCAGGCTACCACTCCAGAGGTGAGCTGTAAGCCCTGGTGGCTACTATGTGGTGTTAAGCCCATGGGTTCACAAAGTTCAAGAGTGAAAGAGGCTTGGCAGCCTCCAGCTAGATTTCAGAGTATGTATGAGGAAGCCTGGGTACCCAGGCAGAAGCCTGCTGCAGGAGTAGAGCCCTCACGGAGAACCTCTACTAGGACAGTGCTGAGGGCAAATGTGGGGTTGGAGGCCCTGAACAGATTCCCTGTGGTACACTGCCTAGTGGAGCTGTGAGAAAGAGGCCAAAGTTTTCCAGACCCCAGAATGGTACCACTGGCAGCTTGCACTCTGCACCTGGAAAAGCCACAGGCATTGCATTCCAATCTGCGACAGCAGCTGCAAAGGCTGAACCCTGCAACGCCACAGAGGCAGAGCTGCCCAAGGGAGCCCACCTCTTGCACCAGTGTGTCCTGAACGTGGGACATGAAGTCAAATGAGATTGTTTTGGAGCTTTAAGATTTAATGACTTCTCTGCTGGGTTTTGAACTTCCATGGGCCCTATAGCCCTTTCTTTTGGCCAATTTATCCCTGTTGGAATTGGAGTATTTACCTGATACTTGTACCGCCATTGTATCTTGGAAATAAATAACTTGTTCGGTTTTTATAGTCTCATATGTAGAAGGAATTCATCTCCACATAGGACTTTGAACTTGAGTTCGTATTGGAATGAATTAAGACTTCAGGGGATTACTGGCAGGGGATGATGTGTTTTGCAATGTGAAAAAGACATGAGATTTGAGGAGAGGTGGAATGATATAGTTTGTCGCCTCTAAATCTCATGTTGATAGGTAATCCCCAGGGTGGAGCCTGGTGGGAGGTGTTTGGGTCATGGGGGTGGATCCCTCATGGCTTGGTGCTTTCCTTGAGATGGTGAGTTCTTGACAGATCTGGTTATTTAAAAGTGTGGCACCTCCCCTGTGCTCTCTCTTGCTCCTGTTTTCACTATGTGATGAGCATGCTGCCCTTGTGCTTTCCCCCCGAGTAAAAGCCCACTGAGGCCTTCCCAGAAGCCAAGCAGGTGCTGGTGCCCTGCTTCCTGTACAGCCTGCAGAACCATGAGCCAATTAAATCTCTCTGCTTTATAAATTACGCAGTCTTAGGTATTCCTTTTAGCAACTCAAGAGTGGCCTAACACATGTGATAATTACAATGCTTGTTTCATAGGCTTATTGTGAGGATGAAAGAGTAAACACATGTACAACTATGCTTGACCCACACAAAACACTCCATAACTCATTACTGATTATTATGAATCATCACCACTTACAGGTATGACGGGTATGCAGAATTTGTCAAAGCAAAGACCTGTGGTTTAGAATTGTCGTTTGCTCATTTTGGCTGGAGTTTAACGGCACCATCTCAGCTTGAGGGAGGAAGAAAGAAACAGGTGGAAAAAACTTTCTTGGTTATGTTGTTCCATCTGTATTCCTGGTTCCTCTAGTGCTAGTTCACACCAGTACAACCCAGCCAAAGATCACTTTTCCCAGAATGCACTGCTTATCAATGCCATTCGATAGGAGTCACATATCTCTCTCTGGCTCTTCTTAAAATAGGAATAGTAGGACTAGGAGTGGTGCCTGATAGCTGGATCCTGGGGCTGAAGATGGGGACACCCATGTGTTCGGTGATCTTGGGCTCTGCCTGTAAAGCTGGGTGCCGGAGTTTTGTGTCATGAGAGCCACTTCCCTCTCAGGAGCAATGATGTCTGTGAAGAGATCACATCCAGATTGGCCATTTATAAATGGATAGCACTCTCTTTTCAGTACTTTTACAATATTTCCTTTTTTTTTTTTTTTTTTTCTCAAGACAGATTCTTGCTCTGTCTCCCAGGCTGGAGTGCAGTGGTGCAATTTTGGCTCACTGTAACCTCTGCCTCCTGGGTTCAAGCAATTCTCCTGCCTCAGCCTCCCAAGTACCTGGGATTACAGGTGCCTGCCACCACACCTGGCTAAATTTTGTTTTCTTAGTAGAGGTGGGGTTTCACCATGTTGGCCAGGCTGGTCTCAAACTCTTCACCTCATGATCCACACACCTTGGCCTCCCAACTGGGATTACAAGCATGAGCCACTGTGCCTGGCCCATATTTTCATCCTGTTACTAGAAACAATAGTACAATACAATTACAAATCTAGAGAAATCTCTGAGTCTGATTTTCCTCAGACCACCACTCTCAGTTTTCCTCCAAGGCTACTCAGCCTGTGGCACCAGGAGATCCCCCACAAGTCCCTCTCCCATCCCTGCCACCTCACCCCACTGGTACCATGGGAGCTTGGAAGCTCCTTTGTTCCTGAAAGGTCATTCTTGAGAAGCCTATTGTCCCCATGTGCTTGTCCTGGAAAGAGCCCAGTCCACACTCCTGCTAGCTTGATCACCGCTGCACACTCAGAGTCAATGACAGCAAGTTCAACAGGGCTTCTAGTCCATTTGCCATCTGCCAAGCACAGTTGGCTTTGAGAAAGATGGAGGATTGAAGAAATGACCCAGCTTTGAGGCCTAGTTCCATTTTCTGTAACAACCGGGCTTTGTAAGGGGGAGGAGGAAGCTGTGAGACCTAGATATTCAACTGGAGACAAACCATCTGCAGAGGGAGTGAGAGTTACTGATTTCCACCTGCACATTCATTTTTTTGGTAGACTCTGTGACCACTTCTGTGATTTCCAACAACAGCAGTCTGTTTCTTGACTCAGTTTCTCAATTTGGACATCAGATGTCTGACTCTGCCTTGAAATTGTTCTTAGCTTCTTTATGCAAATTCTCTATCTGACCTTCCATTCTTCAAAGCATGTTCTTCAAGTGTTGAGCTTATCATTGATAAGTCACTAGCTGAGACTGTAGCTCATTCCATCCTGCCCCACCAGGGTGGACAACTTGTAATTTTTCGTTCTGTTTTGTTTTTGAGATGGAGTCTTGCTCTGTTGCCCAGGTTGGAGTGCAATGGGCAATCTCAGCTCACTGCAACCTCTGCCTCCCTGGTTCAAGCGATTCTCCTGCCTCAGCCTCCAGAGTAGCTGAGATTACATGTGTGTGCCATCACCCTGGCTAATTATTTTTGTATTTTTAGTAGAGACGGGGTTTCACCATGTTGGCCAGGCTGGTCTCAAACTCCCGACCTCGTGATCTGCCCACTTCAGCCTCCCAAAGTGCTGGGATTACAGGTATGAGCCACCGCACCTGGTGACAACTTTTGTTTCTTATTGCTTATAGCAAGAA